CGGGGGCAGAGAGACACAGCCCGAGCACCCAGGACAACCTGCACGGCCGCTGCTGCCACTGTTCCTGCCTCCTCGCGCCCTCGTCGACTTCACCAGAAACCTGTGCCCGCCAGACCCACATTTTCCAAACCTAGCTCAAGGCCGCCTCCTCCATGAAGCCCACGTTGGTTGCTGCATCTTCACGGAGTCCCCCTGCCCTGAAAGCCTGCGGTCCCAGCACCCCGCCCCGCAGGAATGGCCCCTTATTTAGACATAGCCCCCAGGGCTGCCCGCCTGTCTGTTTCGCCCAAACTCCAAGCGTGAGCCTGCTCCGGCCCAAGGCGGCTTCGCAGCCCGTGTTTGCCCCCTTGGAGATCCAGGGAGACCGCAGGCCCCTCCCCGGGTCTTTGCCTGCGCCCTGAGCCTCCCGCAAATGCCACCGTGGCCCACCCACCGCCTCCAAGGAGCCTCCCGCCCCCAGCCCGCTTCCAGGTCGTGATCTGCCCTCCTGCACCAGCTGTGCCCGCCGCCACCTGCGCGCACCTGCCGCGTGGGCCGCTGGGGAGGGAAAGCTGTGCTCAGCGCGGAGGCTGCGCGCTGGAATGGCTAATGAGCCGCCGCCTGCCCTGCGGGGGCTGCTCACCCCGCCTCGCCAGCAGCCTGCGGGGAAGGCAGGCAGATTAAAATTTAATCCTGCCCGTCTGTCCCTCCGCGGGGCGGCTCCTGCCCGAGGCGGCCTAGGGGCCTCCGGCCCGCCAGGCCGCTGCGTCTGAGGCTCCGCCCGGGCGCCAGCCCCACCGGCCCCCACCCCTGAAGCAGAGGCCTCTTCCAAGGGGAAGATCAGGCCCTTACGCACCACCCCCACCCCTCCTGCCATCCGCACATTTGCACCAGAGATTTAACGAGCGCCTACTGTGTGCCCTACTGTGTGCCCGCACTGGCCTAGGTGGGGGGACGGAGCCAGGAGTTTCCAGGGGATGGAGATTTTATTCCCTGCCTGCCGGAGCTCCTGTTCACCACAAACAGAGCAAGCAAGTACAAATCACCGCCCAGGAGAACAAGGTCTAAGAAGACAACGGAGGCCAGGAGGCGGGAAACAGGTGTAGAAGGGTTTTCAGGAATAAATGGTCGGTCAAATCAGGCCTGGCGTCCGAGCACAGAGCTGACAGCAGGGACAGAACGTGCCATGCAGGGAAAGGAGCTGCAGGCAGAGGCTAAGGGCCTCCTCCCCTGGCCTCCACAGCTGCTGGAGAGAACCACACCTGTTCTCCGCCAGGAGCTCTGCCCGTGCCTCCTCCACCACAGGCTCTTAAGTCCCGGCCTCCAAGCTCACTTGCTGTGCAATCTCAGGCAGGTCACCCTCCCTCTCTGAGCCTTGGCTCCTTGGCGAGCAAGATGGGGAGAGTAATAGCACCTACTTCACACAGATCTGGAGAGGACTGAGTAAGGTCACACAGAACGTAAACAACAGCAAGAAGAAACGAACGACAGCTGAGACGATGACCACACAGTGGCACCAGCGAGCACTTCCTCGGAGCCAGGCGGCGTCCTCGTCGGCACAGCCACCGTGCCAGGCAGACGCTGTCATTGCTGTCGCTTTGCAGCCAGGAACACGAGCGCAGGCAGGTGTGAGTGAAACGCCCAGCGTCACACAGCCAGGGAGTGGGAGAGACGGGACTCAGCCCAGGCTGTCTGGCTGGAGCACGTGTGGCCCTCGGCTCTGCGATCAGCGTGACTGTTACTAGTGCTGCTTGGGGCAGGGGGCCGGGGCGTGGGAACGTGACCCCAAACGCGGTTCCCAGGCCCTCGCTCTGCCTCCTATCGCTGCTTCTAGAGGCGGAGGTGTAGCCCAGCCGGTCGCGCTGGCCGTTCCCTGCCCGGAGCCACCGCAGGCACCGCCGCCCTCCGCGGCCCCAGAGCAGCCGTCCTGCGGGGACACCAGAAGCCTCCCCACCCCCACCCCACATCCGAGCACTGATGCGGCACAGGAAGACCCCACGCCGCACACGAGAGGGCAGGGAAGGGGGCTGGGCCCGAGCAGGAGGGGACCAGAGGGGCCGAGGCAGGGAGGGCAGGTTCCCCAGCTGTCCCACGTCACTGCGCAACCTCAGGCAACGACCAGGCCCACTCTGGGCCTCGGTTTCCCCATCCATAAGATAGAGAAGGAGACCCAACATCCGCAGGTCCCAAGGACATTTGGGAAAGGTCAACCGTAAATCACGAAAGCCCAGCCTGCAGTGGCTTCACTGGGATGACGGGGAGCTCACCCCCTGGCCAGACACCAGCTTCCACCGTGGGGCGGCACAGGCCCCTGGGGTCCAGCCCTGGAAACCCTGGGTGCCCAAAAGGCCCTTGTGTGGCCCAGCATCGGTGGAGGCCAGCACTGAAGAGCCAGGCCCCTCTGACAGCCCGCCGGTTCCAATCCCACGTCGGCCACCTCCTAGCTGTGTGACTCGGGACAGTGACAACCTCTCTGGGCCTCCGTTTCCCCACACGTAAAACAGAAACAGCCGCTGCCCCGCCCGCCCAGGCCCGCCGCGCAGGGCCAGCTGCTGCCCGCGCACGCTGCGTCTTCGGCGCAGGGGCTCCTCCCCGGCGGCTCAAGGAGCGGCTGTCCCTCCCCGTCGGCTGGCCGCTGCCGCGCTAGAGGCCACGCCTGCGTCTTCCCGCCACGGCCCCCAGGCGGGCCACGGCGACCGGCCGAGCACCCGGGCGGGGTTCCCAGGGCTACCCTCCCCCACCCGCCCACACTTGGGTCCCTGCTGGGGGGAAACTGAGGCGGGGACATGGAGGCCTGGGGGAGGGAGCCTCGCGGTGCCCCCTAAGTTGCATCCGGCATCCAGCGCGGGGGAGGGGACCGTGGCGTGGGAGTGGCCGGCCGGCGGGGCGCGTGGGCGGGGCGGGACGTACCCGGTTCTCGTCGTAGATGATCTGCACCAGGCTGCGGTGCTTGGACTCGATGGGCGGCGGCGACACCGGCTTCTCGGGCTCGGGCGGCTTGGCGGCCTCCTCCTCCAGCTGTTGCTGCGGGAAGGGCAGAGCGGTGAGCGCGGGCGGAAGGGGACGCGGCCCGCGGCAGGGCGGCCCCCAGCGGACCGGGCTGCCGGCCGCGCACAGGAAGTCAGGCCGCTAACCATTTCCTCTGAGTCACCCCCGGGGACGCCGAGCCCTGAGGGGCGGCAGCCCACGAGCTCTGGAGCCGGGTTCGAATCCTGCCCCGGGGGAGGGGTGGCATCCCCGCTGGGGGGAGGGGGAGTGTCAGTGAGCAGCTCGAGCCCGCTGGGCCTCAGTTTCCTGGTCTGTAAAATGGGGCCAATCCCTGTGCCCCCTCGACCGCGCTGTGGAACACGACTTCTCCTGCTTACTTGCTGTGCGCCCTGAGAAGTTGCTGAACTTCCCTGAGCCTCACTTCCCTCATCTGGAAAATGGGCATCACGAACGCCACGACAGAGAGGCGGTGCAGAGCGCACAGCGCACACGCAACGAGAAGAGCCACCACTGCCAAGGCGCCAGCCTCGCCTGTCCCGCGGCCGCGCGCCGCGCCCCTCCTCCAGACGCCCCGTAAAGGGGATCCCGCCGCGCCGTCTGCTCTGCACCAAGCAGGGGAGCGCAGGGGAGGGCAGGGGAGCGCAGGGGAGGGCAGGGGAGCGCAGGGGAGGGCAGGGGAGCGCAGGGGAGGGCAGGGGAGCGCAGGGGAGCGGGGATCCAGAGAGCTTAAGACGCCCAAGGCCACACAGGAGGCCGATGCCCCACAGTGCAGCGCGGCGTGGCGAGTGACACGAGAGCAGGCCACGCTCTCCTCACCACGTCCACACGGCCGCGCCTGACCTCGCGGCCGACCCCCGCACCCTAAAGGGCAGCCAAGAAGTCAGCCTAGAAAGAGCCAGAAAAATCCAGACCCCAGGGACGGCCGGCTGAGCAGAGCTGCCTCGGCCCACAGTGCCCCCTGGTGGCAGCTTCAAGAAGGGCATTGAACCGCCCCGACAGCGCGAGTCACAGGGAAGCAAGAACCGGAAGTGCTGGGCCAGGGCGGGGCGGGGCCGGCGCGGTCCAGCGGGCGGCCTTCCCGGAGACGGGAGAGACACGCTGCCCCAGACGCACAGAGACCCGGCCAGGGCGGCAACCCGACTCCGCCGGGCCTGGGCCTGTCCCCCCGCCCCTGCTCCGACCCTCAGCGTCGTCCTTGGTGAAACCTGGGTGCAGGGCCTGCTTCCGTCCCCCCATGCCCGCCC